ATATGTTATAGCATTGCTTTTGGATGGTTTTAGTACCCAGAGATAGGGTTAGGAACTATAAGTTACCATCGGGATTGTCCAATTCCAAACAAAACAAAAAAAAACCAATTCCTCGAGATTTGAAACGCTGTATTATTATTTGGCGAAAGAGGAAAAAAAAAGAATATAGTTAAAGGAATGGCAAACGAAAACTGAAACGATAAAACATTACCTAACGTTACGATCGACATTTGCATTGACAAGTTTTAATCAAATATCTCAAAAATATTTTCTTAAGTAAGTAGCTTTGATAAAATAAAAATTTATTCGATTCCAAAATAACTAGAACTGTTGCATATATATATTTTTTTTCGTTTGCAGCTTATTAATTGTGACATTCAAAACGTTGTATTATTTATTGGCAAGAGACAAAACAATATAAAGTTTCTGACGCAATTACATGCAATTGAAATGCAATCTTACGTTGCAATTCAGATTTGCCAGTTGCTAAAACATAGTTGTAATGTATTCTTGTTTTAAGCAGTTTTCTCGCACATAGACTACAACTGTCTGGCATTTCGACACTACACGGATAGCAAACTTATACATCCTAAATTACTGAAAGGAATAATAATAGTTGAAATAAATTTATATATTTCTCTTTTGCATAAAAATATACTGAACTTACAGAGTAAAAAGAACTCGATCCTGTTTGTTTTCTGCAAAATTTAAATTTAGATGTAGAAAACTTTTCTGACTTACAGATAATATCATTTTGATATTTGTCCCTTACTTACAACTGACACTTGGTAGGTATCAGAAATTAAAATTTAGCATAATATGTTAAACAAACTCCTTCAAATAGGTTTGTCCAAAAATAAACAAAAATTTTTAAAAATCTTTCAGTCATGTTAGGTATTTGCAATTTGTTAACACCCCGGCATTTTTCTTTCTTTTTTTTTTTTTTTTTTTTTTTTTTTTTTTTTTTTTTTTTTTTTTTAGAATTTTGTGTTGATTTTGTGATATAGCCGGTTTCGGGAAAGACTACTGTAGTACGAAATGAAGCAACTGTTAATTGCTGAGTATTAAAATTTTTTAGTTTTTCACATGACCCCAAAATTGTAAGATTTTTTTAATAAATGCGTAATTGTTTTTAAAACAGACTCTCATATAAAATATCTGAACTAAAAGATAATATATATTAACAATATGAAATAGAGTGCCTGCAACCTTCTTGAGTTAGGTTTTATTTTATTTCTAAACGTTTTCAGTCAGTTAACAAATTTCCAAAAGAATTTTCAAAGCATGTATAAATCATTATTATAATACGCATTACAGTTAAAAATTTCCATACTGATGCTTAATCATCAACCTGTAGTAACTAGAAATTGATTGTTAGTTGTAGAATGATATTATTTGTAACTGATGTTAACTTCATGGTTTGAAAAAGTTCCTTTAAAAAATAAATAAATATGTAAAAGCCGATTTTTTTCACCATTTTTCTTTTCCAAAACTCGTTGCTCAGTATTATAGTTCATAAAAAATAGAATCTGTATTTAATAAAAATATCAATTTTATTTTATCTCAGAGACATTTCATTGCGTCATTAAAATAAATATAGTTACTTCGCACTACTTTTCATGAATTTCATATTAGCGTCATTTTATTCATGAGCGTATAATATACATAAAAAAATCATGGATTTCAAATACATATATGTATATATATTATGTAGAGAGAGANATTAAACCTAATATTTTATAGTTTTTTGAAGTGTGCAAACGCTTTTGTTGGTAATAGTCTATTAAAGTTAATATATTCCATATTTTTGTATATAGTGTTGCAAAATCTGTTGCAAATAATAATATCAAAATATTTTTGGCAAAGTAGAAACTATTTTTGCTGACCTTTTATGTTGATGGGCTTAAGATCTCTAGTCCAGTTTTGGGTCTACAACAGCTTTTCTATCCCCATATAAGACATTGTCACCTCCTTCCACCCCTCTTTCCTTCTTTTCTTGCGTCTCTTCCCACCCTCGAACACTCGTCACTACTTCATTCCCTCAGAAAAATGGTGGCTCCGAAAAAGAACAGAATGAAATAGAAAGAAAGGCGAAAGTAAAAAAAAAAGTACATAAGAACAAAAGTAAGAGAATAGAGAGAATAGCATCGATTGCAAGAACTAACAGAGGCTCGTGAGCGGGGAACGTTATTTTCTTCCTTTAGCCCCCTCGTCTAAGCGCACCCCTCCCCTTCCAAACCTTATTTTTTATTTATTTTTTTCTTTCCCTCTTTACTCTGTGAACGCCCCCATAAGTCGCTGACCAGAGGAAGATGGAGATAGCGAAAAAAGTAAGAAAAATAATAGATAAAAAATAGCCCAGCGTGCGGGGATGAGTTGGAATCCCCGGATTTTCCTTCTGCCTATAGCATCTATAAGAAGAGCCCGACGCTTGGACGATCTTCCAATATGCAAGAAGAGTAGTTCTGGTTTTACTTTCTCACGTTCTACCCCCTTATAACACATTAAGCCTTTTTTTTTCTATCTTCACCTACTTCTGATTCTTTCTTTTTAGCGAAGATCTGCAAGATATGATTGTGTTAGAACATACTCTGAATCATGATTCATTAAAGCCATTTTCTGTATTCGAAACAAGTAGAACACATATATTTTTCAAATATCAAAATAAATAATAAATAAATAATATTTTTCAATATCAAAATATGTCAAATATCAAAATAAAAGAAGTTTTTATTTTTAATGTCAAGCAAAACAAAATTAAAAGTATTTATTTCATACATAGAAAATTCTGATTAAATTACCGTACTGGATGGAATAAAATTTTTATTTAAAAAAAAACAACCTAGTTCTGATTACTAAAACCAAGATATATGGTATTTAGACAATTCTTTGGTAATTTTTCTGTTAATATGGTAACGTTTTACAGGAAATTCTGGTTTCCAAAATAATGGTTCATTATAGTTTACATTAGTTCAAAATACAAATCAGAAAATTAAATTTAACCGAATAAATGATTTTTATGACATGCTTTAAGGTATTAGGATAAAATTACTATATTTACCAAATTTTATCTCGTGTTATTAGATTATATTTTATTGGTAATTTTTACAAAGTCATTACTAAAGCATTTCGGTGAAAATTACCGAGCATTTCAAAGTTCTATCGAGTCTGAAGCACGATAAATTTTACTATATTCTGTTAATTTTCGACCATATTATTTCTCTCCATGTTACTTATCGTCATATTACTTCGCCATATTCTTAACACAAAAATCGGAAACCGGGAGGAAAAAAAGCAATTTAACAAGAAAGGACAAGAAAAGTCAATTAAGCGTTTTCTTGCGTAAATGCATCGAATAGTAAATGCATTGAGTAGCATTTTGAGCGCGTAAAAATTAACATCTATTAGTTCCATGAATAGTAAGATATAGAATTTAAAATTACTACTTATAAAATATTTCTAATAGGAAGACATCTTGAAATTAAAGGACTAGATTTGCAGGCTTGTTCTTTTTTAGAAGTATGTTTTCCATCTTATATAATATCTATCTATCTCTATCTCTCTCTCTCTCTCTCTGTATATATATATATATGTATATGTCTCAGTTGAGTGTTGAGTTGTAAGTGTGATTTTTTTAAATGTGACTACATTCCTTTTTCTTAGTAAGTTCTGTATATTTTCTATGTATGAAAAAAGAGATGAGCGATTTGAAAGAAACTACAAAAATTGTTTTGTGTTGGCAAGTGACTTATTAAACTATTAAAAATGAAATAACACGTTTAAAAAATTCCATCGATAACTTTGATTGGTGAATTTAGTTTGCTTTTGTTGATTACTTAAATTCTATCGATTACTTTAAAGAATTTAGCTTACAGAGCAAAACAATAAAAAAATTAATTAATAAAAATTAATTGCAATTAACATATTACGTTACAAAGAGTGGGAAGATTTAAGGTCTATTGTTTAAAGTGTATTAAATAAGGAAAATTGTTTAAGGTCTATTAAATTTGTTAAAATTAATTTACATTTTAATATTAATAATATTTTAAAAATCTTGAAATTCAGCTTATTAAATACTTTCTCTTCACTTTTTCAGGAAACAAACTGTTCATGGGCAAGAAACTTGAAGATCTCGACTAACACAGGTGCTTTACGCCAATTACTAAAATGAGATTTCAAAGGAAAATTTTAAAATAAATGTGATGTCTTGGAGTAGTTTCGAATAAATATAAACAATTCTATCCTTAGTTCAGCCTTGATGCTTGATTGCGATTTCAAAAAGTAGTAAGATGAAGGAGGAGAACTGGAGGAAAGATTCCGAGAACAAAATCTGGAACCTTAGCTTAAAAGAAAATATTCTATTTCGATTAAACCCAATATTTTATAGTTTTTTTGATGTGTGCAAACGCTTTTGTTAGTAATAGTCTATTGAAGCTAATATATTCCATATTTTTGTATATAGTGTTGCAAAATCTGTTGCAAATAATAATATCAAAATATTTTTGGCAAAGTAGAAACTATTTTTGCTGACCTTTTATGTTGATGGGCTTAAGATCTCTAGCCCAGTTTTGGGTCTACAACAGCTTTTCTATCCCCATATAAGACATTGTCACCTCCTTCCACCCCTCTTTCCTTCTTTTCTTGCGTCTCTTCCCACCCTCGAACACTCGTCACTACTTCATTCCCTCAGAAAAATGGTGGCTCCGAAAAAGAACAGAATGAAATAGAAAGAAAGGCGAAAGTAAAAAAAAAAAGTACATAAGAACAAAAGTAAGAGAATAGAGAGAATAGCATCGATTGCAAGAACTAACAGAGGCTCGTGAGCGGGGAACGTTATTTTCTTCCTTTAGCCCCCTCGTCTAAGCGCACCCCTCCCCTTCCAAACCTTATTTTTTATTTATTTTTTTCTTTCCCTCTTTACTCTGTGAACGCCCCCATAAGTCGCTGACCAGAGGAAGATGGAGATAGCGAAAAAAGTAAGAAAAATAATAGATAAAAAATAGCCCAGCGTGCGGGGATGAGTTGGAATCCCCGGATTTTCCTTCTGCCTATAGCATCTATAAGAAGAGCCCGACGCTTGGACGATCTTCCAATATGCAAGAAGAGTAGTTCTGGTTTTACTTTCTCACGTTCTACCCCCTTATAACACATTAAGCCTTTTTTTTTCTATCTTCACCTACTTCTGATTCTTTCTTTTTAGCGAAGATCTGCAAGATATGATTGTGTTAGAACATACTCTGAATCATGATTCATTAAAGCCATTTTCTGTATTCGAAACAAGTAGAACACATATATTTTTCAAAGCATAATTGATATGAATTTAAGCAACAAATGTCGGTAATCTCCTTCACCCACATATTAGATAGACGCTCCAATTACATTTTTACCATGCTGGTAAAATGTAATAGGATGCATAACAGTTAAATTTTTGTTGACTGAGTCTGTTCTTGTTGCAGAAATTTACTTTTACTGAAGATTCAAATTTAGGATCTAAAGATGAAGTTCAAATTTAAGACATATTGGGCATTTTTATCAAGCATCCGACAAGAATGTTAAAATATAGTATACAACATAATAAACAAAATAAGTTAAAGGTGCTTTAATTCATCAGCAGCTAAAAGATCCACATACTTTTTTTGCAATGTAAAGTTTCGTTAAAGCAACATGGCGAACAGAAAAAACTGAAAACCATGTTGCAATTGGCTGCATAGAACATAATGAACACATTCGGAATTCTGTTTAAATAAAAATGCAAAAAAAAAAGATCAATCTGAGTTTATTTTACAGCCAAATACATTTCAGATCGTCCATCTTCAATCCAATAATTTTCTGAAGGCTGTTGTTATTGTAGTAAATGTGTTGAGTGGTCTAAAAAGTATTTGGTTAAAATGTTTTAGCTTGCTCTCTTTCATTAGTTTTATTAATTAGCTAGTGTGTTTTTTATTGTGTTATCTTTTCTTTCATTTTTTTATTGTGTCTTCTTTTCAGTCAATAGTGTAGGATCCAGACAATTGTTTATGGTCTACAGCTTTTGCTGTTCGTCATGTGACAATAACGAAACCTTACACTTTAAAAAGGTATATTTATATGTATATTACACTAATCACCAATTTGACAGTAGATGCTTTACATCAAGCTAATCATATGCTACTAAAACTTGAACTACGTTAATGTGATCTGTACTAATTACTCATTATTCCTTTACATTCATTTTTAAAAGTTTCAAGTTTCAAGGGGACTGCTTTATCAGTTTATACAATTTATGAATCTTAAATTATATCCCTATGAGGTAGCGCTGATTCTATCACCCATATTCAATTTTCATTTGAGAAACCCATATATATAAAATTAGTTCATCACGATTGTTGAGAGCAGACAAACCATGAACCTTCTGTTTTAATCATCAATAAATATTCAAAATGCATTACCGTGTTTCAAAAGTAAGTAATATACCTTATGCGATACTAAGGGAGACTTATCAGAAAAGAAATAAAATAAATGATAATTAGTTTTGACTAAATTCGCATATTCAAATATTTAAATAATTATTCAATAAGTTCCACAACAAGCAAATGCAATTAAAACAATACAGTTTCATTGAGTTTAGTTAGAACTCTTTATTAAATCGCGAGTGAGAAAACTAATTAAAATAACAAACATTACTGGCGTAGTCAAAATAATATGTTTTAATTGCAAGTCATTGTTATGAAATTTAAGCAGATTTAAGATAAAAGAACAAATTTAATCGAACTACTTAAGAGCTCCAGACTTTATTTCAAAAGCTAAAAATCTTTGTTTCGAAAGTTTTTAAAACTATTAAATTTATTCTATTCGCATCTATTAAAAGACTCACGCTGTACTTGCATTAATTGCTTAAAGCACTAGAGACTTAAATGTTTATTCAAAACAAATATTTTTGGTTAAATTAATACCAGACATATCAAACCATTAACAATTATCTAATACATTTCTAATTATATTAAATGAAAGCTTCATTTCCCCCGGTGGTTTGAATGGCTCTTTTAGAGTTACCCAAAGAGATCTTTCCGTGGATTTGGCAATTTATACATCATTAGATAAACATACAAGCTGACATCATAATAACTTCTCATGTTATCCAGACAAAAGACATCCCTTAATTACCCCGAATTGAATTCATTTTAACTACTGAAGAAGATAATCAGTCTAGATAGCAACTACAGGGATAGTGGAGGAAGAGCAATAGCGGGATGAGGATCACTCTCAAAGTCAGCAGCATCTTCCCCATCCCTTTTTTTCTTCCTCTCCTGAAACAGGTAAAGAAGATTGGCGATTGAAGACGAGAGCAAAGGGGAGAATGAAGAAGGCAATGCCACCTCTCCTAAACATGTCAGCCCCCTCTCCTTAGCTAAAAGCCAGTTAGCAGAAGATCCCTAAGGGGGTGCTCGACACTGTTTGCCTCAACTCGAATCACGTGAGCCTCAGCCACCCCCTCTCTACACCCCATAAGAGCTCGATCGGCCTATTGTTCCTTCGAAGCGCGTGCAATTAGGCGACCATGCGTTGGAAGGCAGAGCTTTTACGATGCCGATATTCCTGCAATTGCTTCTTCTTCTCTTCCGGAACATTTTGTTCCTTTTTTTTCCTTTTTTGCCTTTCTTCCTTCATGCCCGTCTTCTTTTTCTTGCCTTCGAAAAGCTGGTGAAGATCTAGAAAAGTGGAAAAGCTTTTGGAAGTATGTCCTGACGAACTATATGAGGTCCACAGCTGCAACCATGGTTGACCAATGGTGATTTGGGACCAGTATTTTACGGTACTTGTTGAGGAAATGAGTCAACATTGGAAATGACCTAGAAGGAAAGCAAAATACTTTTATGAATACAGCATTAATTTCACCTAAAATAAAGCACATTCAAACATGAAAATCGTATTTGAAACCATGATTTAGAATAAAAATTTCGATACTTTTAATTTAATTCGTCTAAATCTCAAATATGCTGGATTAATGATTAACATTTTTATTTCTTTTTCTTCTCCTTCGAAAAGTTGGTGAAGATCAAAAAAAGTAGAAACGCTTTTGGAAGTATGTCCTGACGAACTATATGTGGTCCACAGCTGCAACCATGGTTGACCAGGGGTGATTTGGGACCAGTATTTTACGGTACTTGTTGAGGAAATGAGTCAACATTGGAAATGACCTAGGAGGAAAGCTAAATACTTTTATGAATACAGCATTAATTTCACCTAAAATAAAACACATTCAAACTGTTATTTGAAAATCGTGTTGAAAACCATCATTTAGAATAAAAATGTCAATGCTTTCAATTTAATTCGTCTATATTTTATATAAGCTGGATTAACTATTGAAATTTTTATTTCTTTTTTTTTCGTCTTCGAAAGCTTGATGAAGATCTAAAAAAAGTAGAAAAGTTTTTGGAAGCATGTCCTGACGAACTATATAAGATCCACAACTGCAACCATGGTTGACCAGTGGTGATTTGGGACCAGTATTTTACGGTACTTGTTGAGGAAATGAGTCAACAATGGAAATGACCTAAAAGGAAAGCAAAATATTTTTATAGATACAGTATTAGTTTAACCTAAATTAAAACACATTCAAACTGTTATATGAAAATCGTGTTGAAAACCATCATTTAGAATAAAAATCTTAACGTTTTTATTTTACTCGTCTAAATTTCAAACAAGCTGAATTGGTAACTGAAATTTTTAATTCATATTTTTTTCGCCGTCGAAAAGTTTCTGAGGATCTAAAAAAGTAGACAAAATTTTAAAAGTTTGTCCAGACGAATTACACGAGGTCCACTGTTGCAATCTTGAGTGACCATTTGTGATTTGGGTCCAGCATTTTACAGTAATTGTTAAGGAAATAGTCAACATAGGAAATAACCCGGAAGAAAAGCAAAATAGTTTTATGCATACATCATTAATTTAACCTAAACTACAAAAAAAAAAAAAACTGTTATTTAAAAACCGTGTTGAAAACCATCATTTAGAATAAAAATATCAATAAGGAAAATATTTAAATTATTTGAAAAAATGTCTTCCTTGGAATAGTAGTGGTTATTTGGTACAAATATTTTACGATACTTGTTAATGAAATGAGTAAATATTGGAAATGACCTAGAAAAAAGAAACTACTTTTATGAATATATCACTAATTTAACCTAAACAAATAGACATTCAAGCCATTATATGTTTGAAAATAGTGTTAAGAACCAACGTTTGGAATAAAAATCACAATATTTTCATTAACGGTGAAATTACGTGCGATTGTTTACTTACTTTTAAAGTTTTTTTTCTCAAATTTGCTTAAGTTGTGCAGCAGTTTAAAAGTTTTAATTATTTCTAAAATACACATCTTGACTGACTCATTTCAAATGAGTTTTTATTGGCGCAAAAAATATCAACTGCATTTTGATAATCATTCCTGCAAAAAAAGTAATCAATTCATCAAAACTGTCGTTTAAACTGAATGAAAATTGTTGCAGAATACGAACTATCTTACGTACGACTTACGGGAAATTTATAAAGACTTTTTAAGCTCCTTTTATTTTCAAAATATCAGTCATTTGTTTGTGTTGCAAAATGCTCTACATTTTTGTAAAACGCACTTGAAGCTTTTTATTCACTGCGAAACTTTTTTCTAAAAATAATATGAAATAATTATTTTATATCATTTTGAGAAAAAAAAACTTTTTATGAAATTTCTTTCAATTAAGGTCAAAAATCAGTTATTCCATCAATAGATTTAATATAGATTTACTAGAATCAATAGAGCAGAGTTAAATTCTCATTTAAAAATATGAAACCAGATACGAATGACTCTAAAAAAATTCAATGATTTCTAAATAGTTAAAATTTATACATAATTTTCACAAAAATGCCTTTAATTGAAAATGCCTCTTCGTTACACACGTAATTGAAATTTTGAAATTACAAATACTCCAATAAAAGAAAATTAATTTAATTCCAAATGTGTTCCACATTACATAGCATATTATAAATTTTAGTAATTTTCTACCGATATAAATGGAAAAATCTTTCTTGTTTCATAGATTAAATTCTGTTAAACTTTTGATTTGTTCTAAAATTTCAATGGACTGTATATGTAAAGAAATTAATTAGTTTACAAACATAATTAAAATATTATAAAGCAACAAAATTAAATTAATACAAAATGAATACTTTAAGGGGTTTATGAAACTTTTCAAAAATACATTGTTTTGAATATTTTAATACTATTGTATTTTACATAAAATGTGCAAAAATGCTCACAAATCTGACATTTT